ATTGAGATTCAGTACAGCTGGGTGAAGAGGAGTGCAAACTCATTTGCGGATGGGTTGGCCAAGCAAGGAGTGAATAGGGAGGCTGTTTTTTGGGCTAGTTTTTAATTTTCTTTGCATTCCCTGTGTTTTCTGTTCTTGGGGAGCTAAGTTATTTTATCTCCCTTTGTATTCTTTTCCCTCTCTTCTCTTAATTTAATGAAGTTGATGTTATTGATCAAAAAAAAAAAAATTGCTTTTCACATGTTATACTATACATTTCAACTGAGAGTCCACATGGACCCACACGTGAATCACCATGTGGACCCAATTAATAATAATAATAATAATAATAATAATAGTAAATAATTATAAATAATAGTAATAATAATAACTAATATTAACAAATAATGAAAACTTTATTGATTGATAACTGAAAACTTTATTAATTTTGAAAGAGAAGAACAGATTATGTACAAGATCATAGGTGCCTCGAGCTACTACTAGTAGCCCTTTGTTGCATTCACCCTTTACATTGTTCCCCTACTCCCCAGTACATTTTTTCCCTATTTACCCTTACCCCTTGTCTTGCTAGAAAATCGGCCATGCCATTTCTGATATCTGTATCCAGGTGATACTTGCATTTATTACCCCTCGATAGCTTCCTTATCACCCACATATTTTGTCTAAACCACCGTGAACCTGGTTTGTCATACTTAAGCCTCCCAATTACAGTCTTTGGGTCACCTTCCAATAGAAAATTTGTAATGTTGAGAGCTCTTTTAATCCTCAATCCTTGTGGTAGTGCCATGAGTTCTGCTTTCACTGAGTTTCCACGGCCTATTGGGCTTGAGTGGATAGCCAAAATAGCATTTACGTGATTTCTTTTAACTCCCTCACTCCTGATGGACCTGGATTGCCCAGACTGCATCTATCAAAATTGAGTTTTATCCAATTCAAAGGTGGAGGAGTGGATTTCAACTACATGCTATTGGATGCCTTGAAGATGAGGAATGAGCAATCTTGAGCCCCTTGTTATGCTATCCACCGAAAAACCCTTGGAGCTGACCACCTACGACCAAAAAGATCAAAATCACACTTCCAAATTCTAGTTAGGGGCAGGAGATGAGAAAATGGAATAGAACTTCGTCAGTTGCCATGCTTAGAGAACAAAAGTTAAGTGATGATATGAAGGCTAATAGCATTTGCATAAAAGTGAGCCAAATATCTCATAATTTTAGGTTCCTTAGAGATGTTCCAACAAATGGCCCTGATAGAAGCAACCGTAGAAGGTTGAGCGCAAATGTAAGGCCACAAAGTGATGACACCACAAAGTGAAGTAGGAGGAATCCAGGTCCATCATTACATGTGTATGTGATAAGGGAGGTGAAAAGACCAAGTAGCTGAAGGCAAATTTTTCTTGGGTTCACAGATTAACCAATGACATGACTGACATGCTGGAATGACAAGGAGTGAACAGGGACCATTCTATTGGAAGGCGATTTCCCAAGGGGGGAATTTGTAAATATTTTAAGCAAAAGTAATAATCCAGGATTCCAGGGTAACAGTAATAGCCCATTTATAGGGGTGCTAGGCAAACATATGTATCATATGCCATTGTAAGTCTGTAACTTTGCATAATTCTTTTACTTGTTATGCCCCATCGTTTTGGTTTTTTTAGTTGCTTTTTTGGTATTACATTTTACACATTGCAGGGGGTCAAGGGGTGGGGACAGAGCAGGGTGCATGTGAGGTCCACTGACCTTACCATGGAGAACTTGCAGTTACATGGGTTTGATCCAATGATCCCATGCCTCCATATTCATAGGGATGCCAAGTGACCTTCTCAATTACTGGGGCATTGACTTTTTAGTTGATTGATAATGACAACTTTGGACAAATTCTTTTTTTTTTCATTAAGTGAAGTTAGATTTCATTAATTCTGAAATTATAATCATTACAAGCATCCCTTAGAGAGGCACAAGATGCTACCTCTCTATAAACAAAACAGAAAAATTACAAGTGAGCCCAGAACAAAGAAAGTCTATTCACCCTTGCTTGGCTAGAGAATCAGCTAACCTGTTTGCCGATCTCCTCACCCATTGTATCCTCAAATTATATTCTTGGTGATCCACAAAAACCTTTTTAATTCATCCCTGTAGCACCATATCACAGATTCTGGATCCTTTATCCAACCCACCACCAATTTTGAGTTCCCTTCAATCACCAAATTGGTTATGTTCAGCTCATTAGCAATTTGTGCTCCTTGTAAGGCTGCAAGCAATTCTGCCTTGAGAGAGTCCCCATACCCCAGTATGAATAACATGAAAACAGAGCAAGTTTATACATGTCCATTTTTCATAAAATGGAAGATCACTACAGATGTTATACTTCCTAAAATCTCCTTGTTTGGTGCTTGGTTGTGGGTTCTAAGTTCTAACTCGCCTTTTTTTTTTTTGATTAACTTAAATCACTCATTCTTGTTGATGTAGTAAAACAACAGTGTGATACATGGACCCTTGGTTTTTAACTTCTGGAGAACAAGGCTTAACTCTTTGTCCTTCTAATGTAGATGTTTTTGTTCAAATTACAGAATTGGTTAAAAGGAATTGAGGAATTCCAATATACTCATAGTGGATGTTAAAATGACATCTATGTTTGTGTATTGGCATGATGGGAAATGGTATTCTACTCCTTAATTGGTATCATTTCAGGGTCAAATTGGAGCATATTTTCAGTTTGCCCCATGTTGAATCTTCTCCTCTTTTTTGAATAGCTTTTTTTTAATTACTTTGATGGTATCAGGTATGGTTGGCGTGGTCAATCACGTGACAGCATAGGAACTGTTCTTTGTGTTGATGATGATGGGATTCTACGTGTTGGGTTTCCTGGAGCATCCAGGGGATGGAAAGCTGATCCTGCAGAAATGGAAAGAGTTGAGGAGTTCAAGGTTGGTGACTGGGTTCGTATTCGTCCCTCTCTGACTACTGCAAAGCATGGATTGGGACCAGTAACACCAGGAAGCATCGGAATAGTTTACTGTATCAGACCAGACAATAGTCTCTTGTTGGAACTGAGTTATTTACCTAGTCCATGGCATTGTGAACCAGAGGAGGTTGAACCAGTGACACCGTTCAGGGTAAGTGGTGAAAATTTTGGCTTTTCTCTAATTCTGAATAGGCTGAATGTCATCTTATTTTTTCTTGCTTTTTTATTCTTCCTTTGTTCTTGAACTTGTACAGATTGGTGACAAAGTATGTGTGAAGCGATCTGTTGCAGAACCAAGGTATGCTTGGGGTGGTGAGACACATCATAGTGTAGGAAGAATAAGTGAAGTTGAGAGTGATGGTCTACTGATAATTGAAATACCAAATCGGCCCATACCATGGCAAGCAGACCCTTCTGACATGGAAAAGGTGGAGGACTTCAAGGTAATCTGATTTATCATTCTTTTTTACATATGAACCAAATGGAGTGTTTTGTCTTGTCACCTTGTGATTTTCACCTGTTTTCCTGACATTTGTGACCCACCACTAATGGGCTTCTCAGCTAAGAGATTGCATAAACTGAAGAGCAGCATGATAGGATGGCTTTTAACCATCTAAACTTTGCCATCATTTTCAAATACCGGGCTCTGCACTGCTCTTGTTTCTTTTTTGGAGGGGCTCAAATAAATGTCATTACCTGCTCCCAGCAGTTAGGAATGATATCAAACATATTACCTCTTCTTCCACTTGGAGTTGGTCTGGCCCTATACATTGACCTCTTCTGTAAGTAGGGTTGCAACTTGCCAGGTTAGGCTTGAGCTTTTGTGGAAATTTGAATTGGCCCGGCCTGACCCTGAAACAGTGTAGAATGCTGATTTGGGCCAATCTGAGTTGCACCCTATCTGTAAGGTTCCAATTCATGTTCTGGTGGAATTCTTCCAACTTTTTTTTTATGTTCTAATTGGGTGTCATGTAAAAGCAGTTTCTATTTGTTACAGCTATTCATACTGATTTTAAAATTAAGAAGTGTAGATGAAGTTGTTGAGTTCTGTTAAAACTGATCTTAGACCCAGCAAATCTTTTAGCTGTAGCAAACTTGATGGTGGAAAATTGGCAAGTTAACAAATAACAAGTTATAGAGGAGTCAAACCTAAGGGTTTCCATTGCCACAGGTCCAAGATACTCTTGAATTGATACATTTATGGTGTCAATGAATCTTACTTATTCATTCTGTGTTGTCTGTTTCAATATCAGCAGGTTGGGGATTGGGTGAGGGTGAAAGCTTCAGTACCTTCCCCAAAATATGGATGGGAAGATGTGACAAAGAACAGTATTGGAATCATTCATAGCTTGGAAGAAGATGGTGATATGGGGATTGCCTTCTGCTTCAGGAGCAAGCCTTTCTGCTGCTCAGTGACAGACATGGAGAAGGTGCCACCTTTTGAAGTGGGACAGGAGATTCATATGATGCCATCAGTTTCCCAGCCAAGACTTGGGTGGTCAGGTGAAACTCCGGCTTCCACTGGAAAGATTGCAAGGATTGACATGGATGGTACTCTGAATGTGAGTTTACTCTTACTCTTGTTTTTAGGTTCTCTTTTTTTTCTTGGTGTTTAAGGTGTGCTTTTCTCTGCCCTGTTATAATTGTTGTGTGCACAAGTTTCCAACCCCCCCCCCCTCTGCAATATCAAATTAGTTTAAATTACCATGGGTCTGGTTATTTATGTAGGTAAAAGTAGCTGGGAGAGCTAGCTTGTGGAAGGTTGCTCCTGGAGATGCAGAAAGGCTTTCGGGTTTTGAAGTTGGGGACTGGGTTCGTCTGAAGCCAAATATGGGAAATAGGCCAACTTATGACTGGAATGGTATTGGAAAAGAAAGTTTAGCAGTGGTGCACAGTGTACCGGATACTGGTTATTTAGAACTGGCATGTTGCTTCCGGAAAGGACGGTGGATGACTCACTATCAAGATGTTGAAAAGATTCCATGCTTTAGAGTTGGGCAGCATGTACGTTTCCGTCATGGACTGGTTGAGCCCAGGTGGGGGTGGAGAGGCGCTTATCCTGATTCAAGAGGGGTTATAACTGGTGCGCATGCTGATGGAGAAGTCCGAGTGGCATTCTTTGGTTTGTTGGGGTTGTGGAAAGGAGATCCTGCAGATCTTGAGGTAGAGGAGATGTTTGATGTGGGAGAATGGGTGAAAATAAAAGATGATGCGAGTGGGTGGAAATCCCTGGGACCTGGGAGCATTGGCATTGTACAAGGAATAGGGTATGAAGGGGATAAATGGGATGGAAACATCCTTGTCGGATTTTGTGGGGAGCAGGATAGGTGGGTGGGGCCAGCTTCCCAGCTAGAAAGGATTGATGCACTTGTAGTTGGACAACGGGTTGGGGTGAAAAAATGCGTGAAACAGCCAAGATTTGGGTGGTCAGGCCATAGCCATGCCAGTGTGGGGACCATATCAGCAATAGATGCAGATGGAAAACTGAGAATATATACACCTGCTGGCTCAAAAGCATGGATGTTGGACCCATCAGAGGTTGAGATGGTGGAGGAAGAAGAATTGCATATAGGAGACTGGGTAAGGGTCAAAGCATCTGTGGCAACACCAACATACCAGTGGGGAGAGGTTAACCACTCAAGTATTGGGGTTGTGCACAGGATGGAGGATGGGGAGCTTTGGGTGGCATTCTGTTTCATGGAGAGGCTATGGATATGTAAGGCCTGGGAAATGGAGAGGGTGAGACCATTCAAGGTGGGTGATAAAGTGAAAATTAGAGGTGGGCTGGTGACTCCCAGGTGGGGTTGGGGTATGGAGACACATGCAAGCAAGGGCGAGGTAGTTGGGGTGGATGCAAATGGTAAGTTAAGGATCAAGTTTCAGTGGAGAGAAGGAAGGCTGTGGTTTGGGGACCCTGCTGACATTATTCTTGATGAATGTTCCACTGGTATGTCGGGCAATTCATAGTAATGGCATTCAGATATTCATTGTTATTTGCAATGTGCCTCTGTCACAGCTGCCAATTTTGGCCCTTCAGTTAGTTGGGTTTGGAAGGGGAGGGGGTTAAGGACTACCTGATGGCTGGAGGCTTTGCTCTGGTGGTGGTTAGGAAGCCTCAAGGATGAGATTCGTTTATATAGCCAGCTGGTATAGGTGCAATTGAAGAGAAAGGTTGGTTGGCCTGGTTTTCAATCCGTGGATAGGACATAGGAGCAGATAAGAGGAAGCAGCAGTTCATTTGTATTTATGTCACTAGTAGCTCTTAATTTTCTGTGGTTATGTAATATTCTTATTCTGTACAAATTAAACCCATAATCTTGTGAGTTATGCCAACTTTTTGATCTTAACCTCTTGGATCTCTTTTGTACTATAAATAGAAATAGCTAACAAGGCTTAAGAAAGCATGTTCCTGCAAATTAGCAATACATAACGCAAAATAAATTAAATAACTCAGCAGGAAAAGTATTAATCCTTTGATTTGTTTTTAATCCCTTCACTGGCTAACTAATATGCAGTGCTGAACGGGCAAACTGCTTTCTTTCAAGGTCTGCAAACATTCCACTTTCTCAAACCAATGTTCCGCACTCTGACCAAGCATCTGATCTTCCAAGGGATTTCAAAGTTCCCTGGCAGTGGCTCTATTTATCTCTTGCAACGCTTCCTAATATCCTGCAGATTATCAAACAATAGTTCGCTAACTATTGAAGATTTAGATTTAAGTTGGTGAGGCATGACCAAACAGATGCTTACTTGTCTCTTACTCCACAAAATACAAATATGCTCAACCTCCCTACTGTTGCCCTTTAGGACCTCCTGGGTAGTTGATTTCTTAATATTAGCGACGCAAGAATATGGATCTAACATCTGAAGCCAACATCTTACAATCCAAATTTTAGTTATAAAGTTATCCAAATGATGGGTGACATGGGTCCCTCTGTGGACCGTGGTGAGGTTTACTCTTCCGGAAATCAAGGTTTTATAGACTCTAGTTTCCATTGTTCTCTTTCAAAGTCTGGCAAATATGGACTTTATATCAAGATATACTTCAAGTTGATTAAGTAAAAAGGATTTTGTCTATTACCCAATTAGAATTTGGTGAAAATCAGTTTATAGCCTAATTGAATGATCCTTGTAGGTATTAATTTAATGCCATTTAAATTGATTGGTGGAAAACTAATCTGTTTCCAGAAATCAAATGATTGAAGTTATCAAACCATGCTATTTTTGGTGCAGAGAATTTCTGGGTGGGTCCTGATTCTGTCCCACGTATTCATCAGTGGTTTAGGTTCCAACCTACAAAAGTCGTCCTTTTATCTGTAACGTTACTGTTGAGGACTAAGAACGATTGGTATGAATTCACAAATGAATACGTCCAAAGTAAATAATTCAACAAGTGAGGCACCTTAAATATTTATCCTAAAGTATGAATCCTTTTTCACCAAATACAGTAACACAAGGATGAGAAGGAATATGGCATAAAAACAAAAGAAAAACAAATTCCGGGCAAATATAAGGACTTAAAAAGACACCCGGAAAAGCACCTCAATTAGTATTGTCCTGTGACCTGACAGGGAAAAAGGAAAAAGAGAGAAAGAATCCTCATAAACAACAGCTTCAGCAAGGCACATTCTTGTCGGCATGTATATACATGCATGTGCACATCCAGACATGCAGACAATCAGTCCCTATCTGGGGAGGACGAAGAAATGGGACACTCCACCTGCTCTGCGGTCTCCACATTATCTGCATACCACTTGCAGAAGCCTTCTGTAAGAGCTTCATGCATCCATGCATGACGGCATTGCTTAACTGCTTCAGGGATCTCTAGCCATTTCCTCTTACGAGTACTCTGTTCCGGCCATAAGTCAAGCTCTTCCTTGACTAGCAAAGCAAACATTGCAGCTTTACACGAGCCTTCTGGAGTGATCTCATCTTGGTGGGTTTTGCTTTTAAATTTGTAGTACCCTATGAATCCCTGAGATGCACATAAACATGAACAGGAGTTGGTCTGGTAAATGGTAAAAGAGGCATATCTGCATATAACATGAGAGATGCAAAAAAGATATCAATGCATCCTTTTAACTTTCAACATTTTATTTTCATTTTCTTGGTGTAGGAATCTAGATGTCTTTACACTTCTCCAGGACAAATCATTACATCTCTATCTACATCATGTACAAATGTCAAATAATATTAGTTCCATAATTGGGCTCCCTGGACCTCTAAAATGCATGATACAATTTCCAGTACAATTAATGGAAACCTAGGTTCACCGGTCCCAGCATACTGGTTGTAACTGTCACTCTTCCACAGAGTTCAAAGTATCTCAGGTGAAACACAAAAAATTGGGTTCTGCATATTTGTAAGCTACAATACTCTTTTTTTCAAGCAGTCATTTCAGGGTTAGGTAAGACAGTAGGGGTACTAATGATTAAACTCGCTAAAAACCAATGCATATCGTATGATATGCAGTGATATGTTGAGATATTTTGAGCCTTGCCCTCCCATGCTTGTGAAATGATCATTTAAATGAAGCAAATAACCATTTTTTTCTTTGGGGAGAGATTCTAGGCATCCAATGCATATCAAGCTCCACTCCATTATTAAAATAATCAAGACAAGTCTTTCCTCTCCCCCCACAAAAAAATAAATAAAAAAATAACACAAACACAAATACAAAATAAATAAATGGAGTAAGGGTAAATTAACTATTGGCTATCATAGCTTGCAACATCATAACCTCATTTCATAGTGGAGTCTAGTATCAGTTTTGGGTTCCATTGCAGCTATTTCAGATCAACATTATATTTTCTAATTCTTGTGGAGAAACATATGTAATTTTCTTTGGCATAGCATTGAATGTCCATACAATATATCGTGACTTAGCATTATCTAAGATTTATGTTGTCCTTATTCATCTCATGTGATTTTTCGAAGTTTAGTTGGAGTTATTTTTGTTCTTTGTTTAGAAGAAGAGGACGGCAAGCAAGTATCCCAAGGGGATATTTGCAGGTTGGCCTAGAACCAATGGTAGCAAGAATCTTTTGGAGTTGCATTCCTTTTTCTGTGGCATCAGTTTCAGATATATGGAAGGAGAGAACTATAAGAATTTTTTAAATAATAAAGTTTCTTTTTATTTTTATCAAAAGTATCTTATGATGTTAACATGCAAACATTATACATGAATCATATTAATGGCTAGTTATACACTAATCCTTGGAGTACACAATTATTTTTCAAGTTTAAAGTCATCTAGGAGATAAGTTAAACATGATGCCTAATATCACGTCCATATCCAGTCCAGCCCTCCTAAGACCCCAAATACTTGGAACCATGCAAGGTGACAACCAGCTGGTGGTAAGGTCTCTTGCTGGTTGTAGCGGAGACTTGGGATTGAATCCTGCCTGCACCTGGGTTGGGGGGTATGGGTTAGGGATGTGCTACCCCCCGTTATGTAGCCCTTCAGAAGATATCAGAAAAAGGAGAAAAAAAAACTTGGGAGTTGGAACCATCATTGAGTAATAGTCCTTTGGCTCATGATGTCAATTACATAATTGATGGTGTCTAATAGGGCAGAAGATGCATAATCAATCAAAAAGTATGACAGGTCACAGGTATACAGATAATGCCAAGATGTAAACTGCAAGTGGTTCCTACAGTCTACTTGACATAGACATCAACTTACGAATATAAAATAAAATCAATTAAATTGCATTGCTTTTAGAATCTTTATATATAAAACAAATAATGTGGAATGTACAGAGCCCTAGACAAAGAGAATGTTGTAGGCATGTAGCACACCCTGAATGGTTTGGATGAGGTTTACTTTGAGTTGAATTGAGTTCTATCAGAAAATTTTGCTATTATAAATTCCATAAAAATAAATAAATTTCTGCAGTATTGAGCCAAAAGTGAGTTTTCACCTTTATTTCACCTCGGACTCCAGCTTCTTCCAAAGCTTCCCGTACTGCAGCCTCCTCAACAGTCTCATCATTCTCCCATCCTCCCTACAAGGTAGAGCATTGAACTCATTAATCAACCTGTTAAGTTATTTTTTCACAGTTTTTGTATAATATCCAAGATATGTGAATTACATCACAGAAGTCAATAATCAAAAGATATGCATAAGAATTTATTATCAAGCATCATGCAGACCATTAACAAATTACTTTTTTTTGTAAACCATTAACAATCACTGTTTACAAAACAACTCATTACAATTTTGTATTTCATGTTAATGTACAAAATAATATTTGTGGGCATTATATGCCTCCTCATGGTTAATAAGCCTTTAATTGTATGGGCTTTCCATACATAAGCAGTTGTCACCTACTTTCAGCAATTACAACTTAGACAAAATAACAGTGGTAAATAAAACATAGGTGTGTTGAAGAAAAGGTTGGGAAAGAAGAAGCACAAAAAGCCAAAGCAGCCGATTCTGGTAGAAAACAGCATGGTCCATTCACACAAATAGGAGACTATAGTAATTCAATGATAATTGAAGATATCGTTCTTGTTCATAAATTAAGAAATGCCATGCTCATAGGCTGACCTCAGCAAAAATGACAATATCAAAATGGATAAGGAAGAGCATTAGGAAGGAGAAAACTAAAACTCAATAAAATTGTGGAGACTCTAAAGGTAACCTTGATATATATAACAAGAACAAGAAGATTTTATCATGCATCAGTAACCAATTAATGTGCCTGAGCAGTAGTAATTTGCTGCAATTTGAAGGCTCTATGAAGACAACAGAAAACATAAAATAGCGTGAATAGAATTGATGCAAACATACTTGGAACCAAAGTTATAACAAAAAAAGATATGGCCTGAAACAGTTGGCATTGCAGTATTGAAATACTGGGTCTTTATGTATCAGTCTTATGATCCTATAGGGAAATTAATATGTAAGGGGTCCTTGGCACTTGGCTCGCTACCTCAATGAAATTAGAGAAAACATCTAGAGAGGTGAGTTTGGTTGCAAACAGACTTCAAATCAAATCTACAAATATGTGATAAAGAACTATGATATAGAACATCTAACAAATTCTCTATTTTGCAAAAATTAAAGGAAAAGTTGGATAGACTTAAGTAGAGAGTGCATGCAACCTTGACTATTTGATTTGATAACCTAGTTTATTGCAACTTCATACCAGAAAATCCCCAATCAGAGGAAAGACATGAAGAAATTAGTCCACTATTCTCTCTAATTTTAGGCAATGTTTCTATTTTATCCAATTTCATGTGTATGTGAACCAGAAAAGCTAAAAGTAATATATGCATAACATTATAGACATTATAATACTATTTTAAAAGTTAGAGGCAATTGCTTGGCATGGTAATACTATTCTAAGAGTCTGGAGATAAACACAAATAAAACTTCAAATTAACTTTGTGGCTAACTAGGCAGACTAGTTATCAGTCAACCTAGTAAACCTAGCCAATGTTTGCGATCCTATGTGACTGCATCATGGGGATTGACCAATATGGCCCTCAATTGACTAGTGCATACGTATCCAGGTATCATAGTCTATGATTGCACTAATGATTAAGTTTTGTTCAAAATTTATGCATCTCCTTTACAACGAAAACATGTATCATGTGTAAATAAGGACTCATAGAAAAAGTGTAACATTGCTATAGGACTTCAAAACACACAAAAATTCCTAAAAGATTTCCTATAAGGAGACATTTTTCTTTTATCCATTCCAATACTTGGACAAATTTTTAAATATATAATCCCATCATAGAACCACTCTTGTTGATAAAATTCACCATAACCACAATAGTCAATTTTAATTGTTAATACATCATAAGAGGAAAACAAAAAATGATATTATCTGATGACTAAATCACATTGCCAATAAGAAGAGTGAAGGTAATACTGAAACAACATATCCTTGTACCTTTGGAAACAAGAGACCAGGTCCACTAGTTGAGTTGATCATAAGAACCTCAACAATCTTCTTAGAATTTGCAGTACTACTCTCATCAGACCTTCTGTATCTGTATGGAATACACCTGTAACAATCCTATCATGTTAGAAGTGCTTCAACATATTACAACACAGCTGTATACAGTCCTAGCATAATAGAAATAAGCCACAAGCACAGAAAATGGCTTACAATAGGTCAGCTTACAATCTGACAAGAGATTATGCATAATATAGGACAATATATTCCTAGTAATGGTGATTAAGGAGAAAATTCTATTATAAAAAGTGAAGGTCTTTGTAAGATACAAGATTTCATAAATTATATATATGTTTTCTAATTTCCTTTTCCAGGATTTGAAGAAAATGTGTATATTTATATATGTATGAAGTATATATATATATATATATATATATATTGAAATAAAAAGAGGCTTGGAAAGCAGATAATCTATAAAAACAATAATAAAAATGGTATACATCCCTCTCCCCCCCCCCCAAAAAAAAAGGAAGAAAGAAAGAAAAGAAGACATCACCCACAAACAAAAGGGGAAGAAAAGAAAAGAAAGCCTCACACACAAACACTTCCTCCCAGTACAAAATAAAAAGATAATGGAGAAAGTTGACCATATACCCTAGCTCCTAACAAATGAAAATGATCTTCCTTATCCAAACAAGGGCCAACTTGCAACCAAAATAATATGTTAATCATCCACCCAAGCAAACAAAGACTGAAGACACCATCAACACTACCTCAAACATATGGATGAAACATAAAATAATTCCAGAATCCAGATATGACAAGGATGAATACCAAGATACCCAAATCTAAATTTCCACATGATACAAATCTCTGGTTGCCAAGGTCAAATTCCAGGAGGAAAGGAAAAGTTGTTTTTTCTTCTCCTTTTTGCCACAAATCAATATGTATTGCAATACAGTGCTTTTTTTGGTGGAAGCTATACAGGAAAAAAAACTGAGCTTGTAAAAAAGCTCATTTTCACTTTGCATCTTGGAGCTATATAACCATTAAACAGACCCTAACAATATATTTATTAAACTAGGTCGGAGAAAAGATATTTGGGCCTTCTTAGGGTAAGACTAAAATGAATGGGGCATATTAGAATTTGATAGAGAATAAGTTACTCAAATTTTCTTGTAGACAAGAGACGAGAATAGAATTTATAGCAACTTAAAAAGGAAACTGTTAATGGAAAATGTCTTTCCATTTTCTTCTCCAACTACCTTTTGTACCAAAAGCTACACTTACGTATTTTCTTCACTTCAGATCCCATTGTTAAAGCTTACAATATTCCCATCAAGCCAAGGTTTTACCCATACAGCTGATATACTCGGGTAATCCAGATTGCTCAGATGATCTATCCACCTATCTCTAGTTTCTTTGAAATCATTTTCCTGCTCTTACATTAAACCAGCCAACATAATTTAGCCTTTTGAGCAAATAATGGTAAATTGAAGAAACCGAAAATTTTATCCAGGGTGAAAATCATAGGCTGTTGGCCCCCAACAGCCAAAGTTTTTCCAAGATGGCTTGGTGGGTTCTCTCTTAAGTGTACAGATTAAGATACATAACCACATGGCATGAAACTCATACCTGAGATCTGGGGAACAACCTTACTTTGAACTTACAGTCTTTGAGGCCAAAGGTCACAACTACATTCTGTTGAGCCTCCCATCCTGTCTTGTTTCGCTTATAATAAAGCAGCATAGATTCCATTAACAAGTGCATACATACAAAATCATTCACCAATAAAGGATGAGTCAACGTTTGGATTTAGTGGTCAAAATAAACGACCCATTAACAATTACAAGGACGCTGAGCAGAATGGAGCAAGCAACAGAAGTAAAACCAGGGTGAAATTGGTATACGCAAAAAGTCCCGAACCATTTCATAACCCAATTCAATTCAATACACAGTAAAAAAACAGAAATACCATTAATGGCTTATCTGAAAACGACCCATAAGAACAACTGTCACCACGGCGGCGGGGCTGCGATGGCGAAAAGAAGAGATATAAAATTAAAAGCAAAGAGAAGGGTAGGTAGAAAGAGAAAGGGTACCCGGCGACAAGGCGACAGCCGGCCTCGTAGCGCTGCTGAAGTCGACCCGTGCGGGCCACCAAATCAGACATACTCTTCTAAGTATCCGTGTGTAACGATCAGTAGGAGGAGCAGGGATGATAGTCAGTCGCAATCATAGCCACTAATCCGCCAATCGAATTTCTGCTACTGCTGTTAGATTCCTTGTTGACTTTTGTTGCACAGAAGATTATGAATACTCCTCCGCATGATCTAATGACGACAAGAATGCGTGTTCTAGTTGGTCTGTGCGTCCAATACCACCACCCCATCAACCGACTGATCACCGGCGGCCGGCGTGGATTTGATAGAAGTGGGCACAAAGAAGGGTAGGTTCCATAGGAGAGACTCACGACTCAGCTTTTGTTACCGTACTCTTGTTTTTTGTTGTTGGTTTGTTTTTTCAAGGAAAGACAGAGATAGAGATGGGGCTTGGAAGGGGGTAGAGGTGGGGTTGGGCTCAAACCCTAAACCCCTGAACGCACGGATCGGATTAGAAGGGTTCCCGCTTCCCACTCGGTCAATGGAAGAACCGGTCAGCGTTGGGTTGGTTTGTGTGGTTACCTTTCGATTCTTCCCCGAATTTAACTCTGCCTTCCGTTACATTTTTTTCTTTTTTTTTTAATTTTGGTAAAAGACTTTCGTTACGATTTGGAGGGTGTTTTGTTTCCTAGGAGACCGGATCTGTTCCTCACAGGCGTTTCGTAATATTTCCTGTAAATAATAATTAATAAGTATGAGAGATGTTCTCAATGCACACGATGGATGTACCTGTGAGGTTTTCATATGTGAGAAGCAGAATCTAGCCAAGTAAATAGGTGATATTTGAAATTTTATAACTCGATTTTATTATCATATATTTGGATGAGATGTTTATATAATCAAATTTGGATTTTGCAATTTGTATAACAAAAAAATAAAAATATAAATTTATAAAAATTTTTTGATACATTATTACTATCACTATTATCATTTATAATTGCTGCATGCAAAGTACGTGCACACTACCCACAAAAGGGGCTTTACATATTTCAATGATAATATTGGAGATGGGACCAAAAATAATAATAATAATGGAGTTTATATAAACTAAAATATCTTCAAAAGTTTCTTTTGTATTGTTATTGAACTATGGAAAAGGGCTTTGGGGCTATTTTGGTCAATAAACACTTCAAATATTGTTATTCTTAATGTCAAACTAATATAAAAGTTTATTTGTATAAATTCTATGAGATGTAAGGGAGGGACTTGGAGAGGTCAAAGTACAAGAAAGGTTAAAGAATTTGTCAAAGATACACAAAAGGTTAGAGTGATTTATTCCATAATATATATAAAAAGGTTGACCATGATATTAGAAAAGCATGTTAAAAACCTTGTAACCAATCAACCAGTATTATAAAAAGTCAAGGTTTGGTCAAAGCCCATCTAGTGTCGTGTCTTTCCAACTACATAGATTTTCCCTATAAAAAGATGCCATTTCAGAAAATCTTCAACAATACTCTTTTAAAAGGTTGTAGTCATGGGTGAACAAAATGGGTCAGTTTTGGAACTGACCTTGGCATTCATTTAAATCTTGGGTAGGGTTTTATTCCAAATTCTTGAAATCAATCCTTCGCTTAAGTCGACTTTAGGGTCTAGAGGTTTACCCTACTAAAACGTCTCAAACCAATCCAAAGAACAGACCTTCATATTGGCCTTGGTGGAATTGGTCTGGATATAATTTGAACTTAGTGTATGATTTTGAATGATGGATTAATTATGTATTAACTATGTTATATTATTTGGGTTGATTATTGATGGTATTCTATTTGCATTGAGATTGCATTTAACTAAATTTTGGAATGTGTGTGAAGTTAAATTATGAATTAATAATGATTATGTTATATTATTTAGGTTTTTAATGGATGATGTTTTATTTCTTTTGAGATTGAATTGCTATATGGATTTGAAATGTTTAATATTTATGATAAATTGCTATTCAAGGTCAAAGCTTTGAAAGAAAAAATAAATAAAAAACAACATATTATTATTTGTTTTTTTTAAAGAATAGGTTCCGTGGGTAGACCTTTGGAATCGACCTTAAACCATCAAAAGTCAGAACCAACCTTGAAAACTAATATTGGCAGGGTAGGTTTTAGTTTCAAAAACTTGGAACCAACTCCTATAATGTAGGTTCCAGGTTTTACCATGGAATTGAACCAAACCAACCCATGCTCTTCCCTTAGCTCTAGTTGCATTGATTAGGTAAGATGTGGCCATATTAATAATATGGCCATGAAGATTAAACTAGAAAATTTTAATATCATTATATAATGTCAATGCTTGAAATCCGTGGTTGTTTTAATATTTAAATATTAAAGTTAAGGAATTTAAAGCATAGAAAAATTATTTTAAATTGTGTTTTCATTAGTTTCACTAGAAAATGCTCATGTGCAAACACATGGTAATTTTAATGAGGAATGATGATGATGAAAATAATAAAATGTGTCCAAATTTCTCTATAATTTGATAGTTTCAATGTGAAACACATTCTAATTTATCATAGTACTTCTTTTAGTTTAATATAATGTATATATAATATTAGAGATATACACAAATGTTCTATACATAATTTGTGTATATATATATTAATTTTTTGTATTTTTATCTTTTTCTAATTTTTATTATTTAATTATGACATTAAGGCTCAGTTTGGAAAGAGTAGAAATACAAATATGTACATTACAAATATATACAAAATAATATAAGATATAATGTTTTGCAGTACTACATATTTGTATTTGCACTCCTCCCAAATGGAGCTAAAGGTTGACACATTTGGCCTAAAAGGTTGTATTCTTCGACCACCAAATAGAAACACGATTTCATTTGCCGTCAATTTTAAATTTTGTATTTTATTTCCACCATTAATAAACATAATTTCTGTTTGTCATGCTTAATTTTTCTTTAATATGATTAATATAAAATATTAGAGATCAAGGTGTCTAAATTATTTTTTGTAATTCGTTGGTATTTATTTCTATTATGGAATTAAAAATTTTATTATTGAACTATATGATATCATGGATTCATGGGTTGACCCACTTTACCTAGGTGGTTGAATTGCATACCCACCACTTGGACAAAAGAATAGTTGCATTTTTTGGCCAGTTTAAATAAGCATAGGCTTTACATCTTTAGAAGTATTATATATATATATATATATATATATATATATATAGATAGATAGATAGATAGATAGATAGATAGATTGATAGATAGATAGATAGATAGATAGATAAATAGATAAATAGATAGATAGATATAGATATAGTAGAATTTATTGGTGAGAAATAATACCTCGAATACATGATTCAATGAGAGAGAATGAAATTTAATACCTTATATATAAGACTTAATGAGAGGAAAATGAACGAAATAAAAAGTAGTTCAAATTATATTTTCTGCCCTTGCATTTAAAAGGACTAAAGAAAATTCAAAAAATAGGGGTATTCCGGTTAACAAAAAAAAGTTTGGCAAGCTCATTACTACTTTTAAAAATAGTATAGATATAAATATAAATGTACACGCATGCATATCATATCATGTACCCTTCCACCAGTCTGACAAAAAAAAAAAAAAACCATCTTCCGGTGGCTGGCTGCTTGAATAGAATCAACCTAAGCCCAACCTAAATTTAGGGCAACATCAAGTTTTTAGGCCCAAACCCAACAAAGATCCCAAAAGTCTAATCCATTGTGAAGGCATGATTTGATGCTTTAGGCTGTATTTGTTTGCAGTGCAATTTTACTTGCATTAGTATAAATGCATGGGAGTGCAAATGAAAAAAAAATGCACATTCTTGCTTAATTTTGTTTTGGGTTTTACTTTATTCTGCTTCATGTCTTAATTTAATTTATTTGTACTGCAATCAAATAAAATAAACTAAAATTTGAAACAGAATTAGGTTACAACTTACACTAAAATCATTTGCACCACCATGATTTTGCATCAGTACAAATTTATTTACATTGCAACCAAACACAGCATAAGACTCAGTTTGGAAAGAGTACAAATACAAATATTTACAGTGTAAATACATACAAAATACAAGGTTTTACACTGTACATATTTGTATTTGTACTCCTTCCAAACTGAGCCTAAGTCTCTGTTGCCCCCATTTCAATTGCCTTATTCATCCAAACAAAATCCAAAGAAGGAAAACAGATGGATTGAAACTGAGAATGCATGTTCAAGTTTGAGAGTGGCCACTTGGACAAAGAAGGCGAAAGCTATTAGTACAGATGAGACCAATGACAAAACCAGCCCATGCACACAATGTTCTTGATCCACCTATACCTTTTGATGCAAAATAAAAATCTAGGGCAAGGAACCAGGGATAAAACAGAAATGGTCTATCGTATGCACTAAAGCAGAATACTACAACAATAAATAGCTCTTGGTTTTGTTTCTGGGATCGTTATAGATAGATAGATAGATAGATAGGTAGATATTCAGTTAATAATGGATTTTTATGTTAAAAACCAAGATTTTGAGAAAACACAAATCAGTACTGAACTAACCGGATGTTTCGGTTCAGATTGTTGGTTTTTCAGTTTTTCATGAGCACCCCTACTTAAGGCCTTGGGAAACCCCACAATTGCTTGGGCTGAAGAATTAGCTCGTTTTTTTTTTTTTTTGGTAAATGATAATCCATTAAAAGGAAGCTAGGAACCGACAAAAACACTAAGGGTACATTACTATCCCCTTGTTACAGTTGACAAAAATATTTTTGTAAGATCGCAAGGGATAGTGGGCACATACATAAGTTCTGCGGGTTCTGGCTACTCTAGCTATATCATGGGCTTTCATGACCGCAGATCTATTAACAAAATTCAGTATAATATTAACAAAGAAAGAGAGCAAATGTCTAATATGTTCCTGCAGGGCTTGGGCATTGCCATTAATATTTGCTCCGGTTCCTTTTAGAGAGGAGAGACTTGCTTTAGCATCTGAGAGGAGGCCTGCTGTGGTGATGTTCTGTTGAAGAAGATATCTTAGCCCTTTTGCGATTGCCCACATTTCCGCTACTGCTGAGGAAGCGGCCAAACATGGTTGTCCTTTTGTAAAAGAGCGATTCATAGTATGAGTAATAAAATAAAGTCCTGTAGAAGCATCCATAGTGTTTGGATCCCATGACCCGTCAACCAATATAATATCTTCATGCACATCAAGAAGATTAGTTACGTTCAGCTCCTGGCTTGGGATTTTCTGCTCAAGGGGGTCGGCATATTGCAGCCTGTGGTACTGGTTGGCTCTTCTGAGAACAGCCGATGGAGTCGGTTCGTCATTTGTGAAGATTGTTGCATTTCTAGTATCCCAGATTGCTCGGATGACAGAAATGATGTGAGCCTGATAGTGTTTGCAGTCTTCCTTCCTGATGGTGTCTTTGTTATAGGTTGGCCACCATGTCAGGATGTCTCTTGAATTTGACTGCAGGAAGGCTTCCGGGTTTAGAACTATTTAGGCTTGTAGCCAGACAGCCCGAGCAAAAGGACATTGGAGGAAGAGATGAT